GCCACCGTTACATTGAAGCATCAAAAAACAAGAGCGACCGAGCAGTAATGAAATGACCTGGACTGTAGGAGTGTGTGTGTGCACGTTGGCAGGAATAGCTGCAGTATCTGTTATTTGTCGGAAAAACCATCACCCTGCATGACTTTGCTCTTACTATTTTTTATTTGTCTGACTGCTGCTGACTCGCCTCAATTTTCTTTCACTCTTTTCAATTCCGAAACCCTGCTCCGCTCGCCTCTGCTCTTTTCTTCTTTTACACTCGGCTGAAAAACAGGCATCAATAACCAGAGGCAAAGCAGACTGTGTGTACAGTACGGTGTGAGATTTCAATAAAAACAACAAATGTACACTCCCTGGTGACTCCATTAGGTACATGCGTACAGTGCATGAGGTGTTACCAAGGTCGTAGTGAGCGGTGGTGCGGTACTGGACATGAATTAATCTCCCCCTCGGATATTTCAGTAAAAGCAAATATTATTGTTGTAAACATCAAACTAACGGCTGAGCTTGTATTTTGGATTTTGTTACACTGTATTTCTAAAGTAGCGACTGCTCAGCTTGCATGACTCAAAGACGTAACAGTCTCCGACTATGTATGTTCCACTCTGACAGGTAAAACGACGCCTGGATGATTTGAGCGATGTGATTTCATCTGTTTTCATCGCTAAAACACGGATAATCGCGTTCGGGATGGGAAAGCTGTTTGATCAGTGCAAGAAAATAACAAAGTGGAGCTACACCAAAATTGAAACAGATCAAAGAAGGGCTTTGATGAACGGCTGTCTCCACAGTGCTCGATGATGTAATTTGGGGGATTTTTCTTATCAAAGAGAAGGAAGTTATAACAGTGTCTGCAACCAGAAGGACAAGATGCAAAATAATAAAATCAGGGTACAGGTGACAGGGTTTAATAAGGCGTTCTAAAATCCCAACCACTGCATGACAGAGTTACCGGATCTCCTTACTAAATGGGTCAAGCGCGGTGCAGTTTTATGGTCGGCAACAAGAAAACTGCACTCAGTTCATTTCCTCGCTTCACATCCATAACAGTCTTTAATACACAACGCAGGAGCAATTTAATCCTCTGCAGCTCCACAGGAACTGATGTTCACTGCCTCAAAACTGTAATCACAGTTTGGCGGCGATACTGAGGCAACAAGCGAAAAGCCACAAATACTGAGACTGGACTGTGGAGGTGGCTTGTGTGTTCTCAAAAATGTTAATAATGCCAGTGGAGATCCCATAAAGATATACTATACTATACTACTATACTAATTTATCTTTGAAAATAATATGCAGTGTGACTCAGAAAAATATGGCGAGTATGTGTCAAAATAACTGTCAGGGAGGTCTTTTTAGCTTAGTCAGAAAGCTGACAAACCAAGGCATTGCATCATGTTAATGCAAAAAAAAAAAAAAAAAATCTGCTCATCAGTAGTGCCCCCAAAGACACAATCAGACAAAAAGCACTACAAAAATCTCTCAGTGACACATTTGTGCTGTTAAGTCATTCGTGAACTCAGAAGTCAGAGGCTCAGTAATCTGTTCCTGAAATTTAAATATTGTGGTAATATGACAGTCGCCAAGTTAAATCCTGTGCCGGAGGGGTTCACATAAAGAGAGCGCCGTAACACCTTGATGCAGAAGCCTAAATCCATCTCAAGCCCATGAGGCTTTTCCTGGCAGCCGTACTACTGTTGATATTTGAAATCAGTGAGGTTGGTGTTATTTCCTCCCTTCTTTGTGTGCGTCAATACACATCGATATATTACTGAATACACACTGCAGCGGAGTGATCCGAGGTAAATGTCACACATCTTACATAATGCCCGAAGCTTTGAATCTCATTAACAAAGCCCCAGTAACTATGGCGATGAGCATCATCGGAGACCCCCGATGTAACTTATGCTAAAAAGGCCAAGAGGTTGCCATGACAACTAGAACAAAAACAAGGGTGAGAAAGTTGGAGCTGGTTTATTGAAGCCATGATACGTACACAAACACACACACGGACACTCAAAGGCCTTTATGCTCAAATGGGCACTAATGTCAATAGTGTACAGAAAAAAACATGTTTAAGATGTTAGTCTTTTCCTTCCAGTTCCTTTTTATCATCATCATCACTCTCTGCTCCAGGCTCATCCCTCAGCATGTGAACACCCTCGCTCTCTCACACACACACACACACACAGT